CTTGCCCTTGTCTTACCATCAAATGCTCCAATTCTGCTGCTGAAATTCGCCGTGACGCAGATGCCCTTTGCTTTACAGAAGCACATCGTACCTGGTCTTCACCAATGGTGCAGCATCCAGGCAAGGATTCAATTGATTTTGATGGTATAATATGCGAATATGATGGATCACCACAACCATAAACAACTGACTCACCATTATCACCTTAAAAACCCCATCATCAGATGCAGCAACTCCTAACCACAAAAAAGTTATCTAGTAATATTATTAGTCTGTTTTCCAGTGCTTATAAGAGTAATGAGGAATTTGATGGTAACAAACAATTGTGATATCCTCAAGTGCCCCACTTGTTGCAATGCACAAATACTAACATGGCAAAATTTCATCTCATAACCTCAGTAACTATCTTGTAAACAAAGAAAAATGAAAGTTTCAAAATACGTCAACACAAAAATAAAATTACTTACATAATTGAAAATTACCACCTTGCCGTAACTGTGCAGTCACAGCACACTTTTTTGACATCCCAGCTTAAAAAAGTAAGCAAAAAGAAAAAAAAATGAGAATTTTGCGAACCACCCTCGAAAGTTAATATGACAAGCACTCGCACAATACCGTTAGTAGAAAATTTAACTGTCAAGCATTTCAAACGCATGCAACCCTGATTACAGAAGATTTGTAATCGTTCCCATATGCAGTAATATAACAATAATGAATCAAACTGAATAAAATCAAAAAAACATTCAATCAAACCAAAAAAAACCTAAAAACTAAAAGACAAAAAAACAGACTAAAAATTTTTAAAAGTCAGTTTTATCATACCAGAATATTGGTCGTACTGATTAAGATATCGAGATCCTCTGGCTACAGAGAGGCTTGTATTTGGATGCCGCAGTGGAGGTGCAGGTGGCAGATGCGAAGCTAAATTATGAACACTACAACTTCGACCAATCATATAACTGTGGATGAGCACTAATATAGCCCTTAGCTCCTCGAAAACACATACACACAAATAAAGAAATGCACAAGCAACTGTAAATTAATTCAGAAGAATGATAAAACTGTTTTGTGGCCGCAGTAAAAGCTGTTCCAAAACGAAATCGACCATAGTGATTGGAAAGACTAAGTAATTTGAATAATATATATCTCACAAATTGCTTATTACTTTCAAACGTTAATTGTTAATCACAAGTAAGCAAGAAGAAGAAAATCAATGTTTTGGTTTTCCCAAAAAGCTAGTGTTTTACGAAAGGTTTATAGACACGCAAAAATCAAATGTTTTTAAATAAAAAAAGCTATATTCTCATTTTTCTTAACTACCTTTTTACAACCAAGGAATGCATTATGCAAATACTAACATGCATATATGCTATAGCAAAAATTGATCTATTTACATGCACCTAATTAGCTGTAACAACACAGCGACAGTAAACAGTCAAAGAGAGGAGGAAATGAGAGTTTTTACTACAATTCTGCAAAATAAGTTTCTAGAAGCAGTACGTAATCTTCCAAAAAACTTTAGACAAATCATTATAAATTACTAAGAAGTGTTAGTAATAATAAATTACCTGACATATTCCTCCTATTTGACACTTTTGCAGTACCAATACATGGTGTACCGTATGTATTTGCATCGACAGTAATCACCTGAAAGGGTAAGTCAAAAGTCATTTTACATAAATAAAATTCATAAAGAAAATGATAAAGTAAAAACTTTTTACTCAGCAGGAAAAATTAAACGAAGCAAATGAGTAGCTACTTTTAATGTGATAGTGTCACCAGAGGCCTGAATTAGCCTAACAACTTGATCATGCGATGCGCTGCGAACATCAACACCATTGATCTGTAGGAGAAAATCACCAGGCCTGAGGCCTGCTTTCATAGCCATTCCCAACATATCAACGCCCTCAAAGAATTGCAGGGCAGGCATCAACGGTGTAGGCTCAAAATCCATTTCAGCGTCAGTTCCTCAAATTAAAGATGAGAAACTCGGAAGTAGCTATGAATTACTGTTAGTCATACAATGCACAATGAACGTCAATACCACTGGTTTTACAATCAAAAACGTCTAATGATTTGAAATACTAAATTTTTTTCAGCAAGTTCTCAAGGTTGAAAGGAACGATGACAGACATAAAAATGTTTTAAAAGTAATCGTTAAAAAGTACTTTTTGCCCCTCGTAAGATGAAACCAAAACCTTTTGGACCACGTGGAATCACCAAAATACGCGGAACATTTACCCTGTGAGTAAATTAAAAGTTAAATTACAAGTTAACATTAAGAAACGAATGTAGTAATGGTATTCAAAGAAAAAAAAACTTCCAATAAGTGGCACCATAAAGTTTCATTGAATGTTTACTTAATTTAATGAATTTAATCTAGAGCTGTAAAATGTGACGTAATTTAACAATATATCATTCACTCCGTTATATAGGTGATACATTAGATATTAATTAGATATTAAACCTATAATTTATATTGGGCAATACCCACGGTTAATATATGTTGAATTTAAATTAAGAGAACAAATTGGATAAGAAAAAAGTGGAAAAATAAAAAACACTTACTCATGACCATCCGATGATGTCCTAACTACATTTGGTGAGTAACGCCTCATTGTACCACACTCGCTACCTGCAGCACTTAGTGCAGAACTTAGCCGACTAGGACTAGGACTTGCCATTGTCTAAAACATTTGAAAGGACTATTATCTTTCGCGCAGTCCACTACAGAAAAGAAAGAAAATTACACCTAAACCAATAAAAAAATACTTTCTTAAACCAAAAAAAAAAAAAAAAATTAAAGTCTGCTTAAAAGTTGTCACCTGACTAGGTTGCCGAATAATTTTTGGGGTACCATATTCTGAATTAATACTGCACATAGAGCTTTGACTAACTGATCTTCTTCTTGCCAGCGTAGAAGTAAGAGAAGTTAATCGACGTTTTGTATTATAGACAGGAATCCCACGATATGGCACTAAAAAAAAAATTTTTTTTCATTTAACTGATTATAACCAGAAAAAAAAAGTCAAATATTACTGTAAAATTTATAACTTAAGAAGAACAATTTTTTTACTAACGCCTCGAACTCAGATTAAAAAATCCTCCATATTTCGTTATTTCTAATTTACCAGAATGAAAATGCCGAAAATAATTAATGAATTAGTAATTTAAATCCACGTTTGAAACTTAGAAAAACTAAAAAAAAAAAAAAAACGAGTGAAAAAAATCAAGGTTATGACCTTAGTTACTGAGTATAAAGAAAATTTTTTTCACCTTCTTATAAACTTCCTAACTCAGTGAAAAAAAAGGTAAAAAAATTTTAAAAAAGCGAAAAAATAGGACGGATATAAATTAAAAAAAAACTTCAGCATCCTCAAGAAGTCAAAAGTTCACACGCAACAAGAAAAGGTGCTTTTCATTCTACTAAAACTTTCCTACCGTTCATCCATTTATAATAAGACGTCAAAAAGAAAAGAAACAATTCACTCTTCTTCCTCTTCTCAACTATCCCTCCTTTTTTCCTTTCCAAACGAAGAAAATGATCATCGCTCGATCAGAACTGTAAATTATGCAGGAGTTTCACCGAATTTCTTTTCTCAACTGAACCATTCACTCATTAAGAAGGTAAGTGAAAAAATTAGTGTTAGATTACACTTGTAAACCCAAAGAAAAAGATAAAAAGAAAAGATGTTTTTGAAATAAGGTAAGGTTTTTTTATTCCCATTTGTTTAAATTATCTAACCGGCTGTAGACGGATTATGGTTCTGGATAATTTCAACAACTCCGGTATTGCCAACGATATGTGCAACATGCAAAGCTGTTTGTCCCTGCTTATTAACAATTGTACTATCGGCACCACGAAACAACAATACACGAGCACATTCAGCCCTGCAAAAAAAGAAGAAATAATAATCTGTTTAGAAGCAGCTAAAATTAAGGTGATATCGGCAAAGACGAAAAAAAAAATTGAATTTTTATCAAACCAACCATTATCCCCCTTCCCTTCTGCCTCCTAAAAGAAGAAACGTGAATAATAAAACACTTCTCTTGCTTTTTTTTCTTGCATAGCTTACAACAAACTAACAACAAAAAACTTTTACTTTTTCTAAAAGAACCTAAACAATTTGTCCCCAAATAATTCCTTTAAAACAGTATAGAATTGTTTTTTCGCTCAAAACAAACAAAAGAAACAGCAAATTGTGCATCTCCTTCTCTGTTCAGCTGGCTTTTGTACTTTTCAGAAATCCATATTAATTAATCTCAGTTGTTCGGTGAAACACCAAAATTGCACTACTCTCTAAGAATGCAATTTATTAATTGTTTTGTTGTTTTTAACTGTATAAACTAACAGTAGGAAAAAGAACAACAACAACAGTATTGATTTATCACTGACACGAAAAAAACAGCCAACGTATCAGCAATAAATTATTTCCTTTTTTTCTTCCACATTAAACAACTGTTACTCTTGAGATAAAGTTAAATGATAAGAGCAACGAAAAAAATTGCAACAATTATTAGCCGACAGAACACATCAAATTTTAGCCAACAGTCTTACTGTTATTTTGTTAAGAGATCTGAAGTTAGTTACAAAAGTTACTTTTTTCTGTTTTATCACTCACCCCATTTTCTTCTTTGCATATTTTAATAATGAAAAAAACTCATGTCATCAAAAAAGCAAAAAAGCCAAAAATTTTGTGTAAAATCAATCAGCCATATAAACGCTTTAAAAGATCAAAGAAAACATAAAAAATTTTAAAAAAAATTTTAGAAACCAAAATTTTCTTCTTTTGTTCACCTGTTGTTGACAGAACAAACGTGTAACGGCGTATTTCCATTCACATTCTGTGCATTGATATCTGCACCATAATAGAGTAAATGTTCAACATGTTGCATTAAACCATTTTTGCATGCCTTAAATATCCAGATTTATACCATTTATACAACATTTTTCATCATCATTAACAATCAGTCAGTCAGTCATTTAGTCAACCGCTCATTCATCCACCCATCTATTCCTCTATTCATCCATCAATTTATTAAATTCAATCATTAATTACAAATCTCTTTCTCCAATCGCTACCTCCTTTCTATTCAATGACCAATAATTTTCAAAAGTTCTGACGACAAAAACCAGTGAGACGCTAAGAAAAAATTTGAGAAAAATGAAGCCTAAGACAAGGTCTCTAAAGCAGATATGCTTCTTCAACCGCCACAGATTGATACACTGATGTTCTAGTGACTTGCTAACCAATTTCCCTTGTTAAATCCCAACTAAACTGGTAGTCATTTTAATCTTTCCAAACATACATCACAAAAAACTATATTAAATACAAAATAAAATTCAACCCAATTTGTTAATTCATTTTTTTTTCATGCATTAACTCAAAATTCGGCAGTATAATAAAGTTGCGAATTATTTAAACGAACAGTGAATTAGTGCCATCAAAACTTAGTCAAATTCCTCCATCCCTCTCTACCTCTGTCTTTACTTCACAATACTACTCATTCGTAAGTAATATTAATAAAAAAACTCTACTTTTTCAAATCGGTAAATCGTCACAAATCCATACAAATATATATTATTTAAAATACGCAAATTCAACAAAACAATTTCTTTTTTAGAACATATCTTATATTGCCATTTAGGTGACTATATTCTAAGAGATACTTAACGCTTGACAATTGGTTTTAAAGAAAGAATTTTTAAATCCAGGTAAGCAACCAATAAGTTCTTCTTCGTTTACTCCATTCTTCACTTGTCTTTCTTTTATCTTGGTTTTATTAATTAACAGCTAATACGTAAAGTAAATTTTGAAAACAATGAGATTTTCTTCATTATTAGCCACAACTGAATTCCACTCATCACTTTCTTCCATTTTCGCCACCCCTCATTCCTCTCTCAGTCTTCTCAGCTGGTATTAGCAACGAAATACTGTTAAAATAATGCTGTTACTGTCTTACTGCTAATTTAAAAGCAGAAAAGCGAAAATTATTTTGAAAGTTCAAACTAAATTCAAACACAAGACAGAGGTATGATAAGTTGATACTTAAAAATTTTGAAAATTAAATTAGCATTTGCAATTAAAAAATGTAAATCTTGAACAGTTTTGTAACAATTAGTAATATCAAAGTAATATACACTATAAATAAACTGCAGCAAAATACCTGATGAATTTCATGATTCCCGTGCATATCGGTAACCGATATATCTGCTGCATCTTTTAGAAGCATTTCAGCAACATCAGGTTTTGAATCCGCTGTTAGCATATTATAGTATAATGGTGTTAAACCCAACGGATCACGATAATTTGGTGATGCACCAAGTTCCAACAGGCAGCGAACATTTTCAACAGAGGACAGGAAAGCCGCTTTATGCATTGCAGTCTGTAAGACCATATTTGTTATATATATATATATATATATATATATATAT